CGCAGTGAAACTGGCTGTGGAACTGGCGGCCCCCCGGTAGCAAAAGCGGTTGGGCCTGGGAGGGCACCTGGTTTTCACGTTTAGCTGCGGGAGGGCTGGTGCTTTGCCCTGGACGTCTACAATCTGATGACTAACTGAGGGAGAGGCTGTGGCTCAGCGGCAGAGCCTCTGCTTGGCATGCAGGAGGTCCCAGGTTCAATCCCCGGCATCTCCAGTTAGAAAGGACCAGGCAGTAGGTGACGGGAAAGAACTCCGTGCTGCCGGTCTGAGCAGACAATACTGACTCTGAGGGACCCAGGGGTCTGATTTAGTAAAAGGCAGCTTTATGGGTTTAACTACTGGGATGTGGGGGGAGAGGGGTACGGGATCCCTGTCCTCATTCCCGGCCCCTCTCCGCTCTCCCTCTCTTGTGCAGTGAGGCAGGCCCAGAGGAAACACATCCACGCCGCCCATCAGATCATCCATGGGAGTGCACCGGCAGCCATGGGGACGCCGTTTTCCGGAGAGGCAGCAAGCAAAACAGCGGAGGCCGGGGGCCCGAGCGCACCACCCCCAACGGTTGGCCCCCCAGACGTTCCGGAGGTGCCGGACCATCCACCCGCCGCCACGGCTGAGCCAGACTTGCCACACAGAGAAGGACACTGCAAACACAGCCACGACCCGCACCCCAGACAGTGAGGAGGGCGGGGGCACATAAGGTGCACTTCGCTTCCCCATGCACCGGGCCCCATTTGTCAAAACAGCGGCCGAGGACCGAGCTCGCACAGCTCCACTTTTCCCGACACGGCCTTCGGACTGAGCGAGGAACCGGGGAATAGAAGGACAGCATGTGCTTCCATCTCGGAGAATGTTGTCGGGAGGCAGAAAGAGAAAAATCCTTTTCTATTCCTCTGTTTCTTACTCGGTTGAAAAGACATTTCACAAAAAAGCTCAGAGACCCATTTTGCGATAAAAACAACCCCCACAAAGTTTCTGTGTGTGTCCCCCCCCGCCCCCGGCTGTGTCCTTCCTCACCTCATGCAAGAGAGGACTTCCCTGACCCTTTGCAAGGAAGCTCTGCAAGACCTGGTTGGTATTTTTTTTTTTTAAATTCCACTGAAGAAGAGCTCAGGAACAGCAGCATGGGACAAGGTGGGGCGCTGTAGGAAGGCCCGAGACAAACCAGGTCTGCATCGTCTTGGCTGGACAGCCGTGAAAACGCTTGGAAGAAAGGAGGCTCAGCGGGGAGCCCCCCCTTGCCTCGTAAGAACGCACCTTTCCCCTTCCCTGCGCCTTTTGGTTCGTGGCTCAAAGCACACCGATTGCTGGTGTGTACAAAGAAATAAAGCCAAACTGCAAGCAAAACGGTAAGACTGGTTTCCATCAGCGACAGGTTCCGGAAGTCACAGAACAACCCACCAGCGTCTCAGGGACTCGTGCAGAGACACTAAATAAGTCACTGCTGTGAGCGTTTTGTAAAGGGTGGGTTTCATGGTGTGCCACCCCCTCCCACCCAACGGCAACCAGTCTTCTTCCTGCTGCGAGGCACTTTTGGCTGTTTGCCTGGGTCTTCCTGCTCCCCTCCGCCCCCAGGAGAAATCAGACTCATTCCCACACCATTCCCATTGCACTCGAGAAAAGCGGCAGTGCAAAAGTCATATGAGAGAGAAAGAGGGAGAGAAAGAGGGAGGGAGGGAGAGAGGGAGGGACACACGCACACACACACGCACACGCACGCTGAACACCCTCCAGGGAGAAGCAGCTGCCTTCTCCTAGGTTCCCAATTCAACCTGGCATGATGGGGACCTGCAGTGAATTCTGTTGGGAGCCACAGAAGTTCACTTAAGCAGAGGTGGCAAACTCCTTTGTTAACGAGGACCAGATCTGACATGTGTCACTTTGTCAGGCCAGGGCACGTGTGCCGTAAAATGTAATGCCAAGTACCAGAGAGATAAACTTTATAAAGGACCCAGGCAAACCAAATTAAGGATTTTTAAAAACTCAAAATATAAACACGCTTAAAACATTAACACTCATACAGTATTTCTTCACATTATCTCCCTGGTGCCCACCCCTCCCATTTCCACCGCCCTACGGATTAGCACTGGGACGGTAAACGGGGACATAGTGCTCAGCCTCTGTCATCCGGCACTAAAGGTAACGACCAGTTGCTCGCGGGCCAGATAAGAGCCCTGGATGGGCCGTATGTTTGACACCCCTGAGTCTTACAGGATGACCGGGAAGGAAAGAAGGACCTGCTGGAGAGGTTTTTGGTTGCTGGGAAAGGCACAGCTTCCTCTCGGGCCCCCACACAAAAGCCAAGGGGGAGGATTGCGCCCTCCAGCCCCACACGAGGAGACGTGCCGGAAGGGGGAAAATGGCAGTGGGCCCAGCAGCTTGTTTGGGACACCGAGTGGGGTTGCCAGGGCTCCCCAGGAGGAGAGGGAGGAGGAGATTGGCTTTATCCCCCGCCCTTCACTACCCGAAGGAGTTTCAGAGCGGCTCACAAACTCCTCTCCCTTCCCCTCCCCCCAACAGACACCCTGTGAGGTAAAAGAAGAAGAAGAAGAAGAGGAGACTGGATTTATCCCCCGCCCTTCACTACCCGAAGGAGTTTCAGAGCGGCTCACAAACTCCTCTCCCTTCCCCTCCCCCCAACAGACACCCTGTGAGGTAAAAGAAGAAGAAGAAGAAGAGGAGACTGGATTTATCCCCCGCCCTTCACTACCCGAAGGAGTTTCAGAGCGGCTCACAAACTCCTCTCCCTTCCCCTCCCCCCAACAGACACCCTGTGAGGTAAAAGAAGAAGAAGAAGAAGAGGAGACTGGATTTATCCCCCGCCCTTCACTACCCGAAGGAGTTTCAGAGCGGCTCACAAACTCCTCTCCCTTCCCCTCCCCCCAACAGACACCCTGTGAGGTAAAAGAAGAAGAAGAAGAAGAGGAGACTGGATTTATCCCCCGCCCTTCACTACCCGAAGGAGTTTCAGAGCGGCTCACAAACTCCTCTCCCTTCCCCTCCCCCCAACAGACACCCTGTGAGGTAAAAGAAGAAGAAGAAGAAGAGGAGACTGGATTTATCCCCCGCCCTTCACTACCCGAAGGAGTTTCAGAGCGGCTCACAAACTCCTCTCCCTTCCCCTCCCCCCAACAGACACCCTGTGAGGTAAAAGAAGAAGAAGAAGAAGAGGAGACTGGATTTATCCCCCGCCCTTCACTACCCGAAGGAGTTTCAGAGCGGCTCACAAACTCCTCTCCCTTCCCCTCCCCCCAACAGACACCCTGTGAGGTGGGTGGGGCTGAGAGAACTCTGACACAAACGGCTCTTTTTCAAGGACAGCTGTGCCAGAGCTTGTGACTGACCCAAGGTCACATCAGCAGGTGCAAGTGGAGGAGGGGGGAATCAAACCCGGTTCTCCCAGATTAGAGTCCGCACACTTAACCACTACGCCAAACTGGCTCAGGTGAGGAGCTGGAATCACAGGGGCAGGTGGGTCCCATCCTGCTCAGCCACTCACCCATCCCTCTTCCCACCAGCCACACCACCTTCTGCTCTCCCTTTGTTCCGGGGACTCCGTCCTGCAGCTCCCAGGGCCTGAGTGAGCAACTGGCCACGGCGGGAGAACGGGCTGTGGTGTCGGGCAGGAGGCAGACTCCCAAAGGAAGGGAGATCCCGGGTCCTCGTCCCAAAGTCCACAACCACAGAGAGAAGCTCCAGTACACCTTCGCTTTTTCTCCCTCTCCTGCTGTTCCATAGTCGGTAGGGTCCCTCACGGCCAGAGGCAGGGCCTGATCCTCTCAGTGGGGAAAACCGAACCTGCACTGCCACTTCCTCCCTTCATATCCAAGGGGAGGGGGTCACTCTTGCAGTCTGTTGTCCCCGCCCAAGATCCTGTGTGAGACGGGGCCGGCCTGAAGCCCACTCAGACCAGGAGGTTCAAGCCAGGTTTGATATGCAGGAAATGTGAAAAGCAACCACGGAAGGTTGCCCGTGACAGAGGCAGAAGCGTGGGCGAGAGGGCTGCTGCACTGTCCTGCTATTTGTCCACTCCATCACCCTCCTCAGGGGCTTGGAAAGAAGCGCCCAGCCACAGCTTTTATTCTTCTGGTGGACCCTTTCCTTTCCTCCAGCTGATAAGAAAGCACCTGGGAGGATTTGGAGCAAAAGGGCCAGCCGCCAAAGGTCCCCAATCCAGCCCGGGCTAAGGACCTTTGGGTGGAAGGGCTGCAGCACAACAAAATTACAAAGTCCTAGTGTGCAGCTGCCCCCACACTAGTCTGGTGGGCTACCACCAGCCCTTTTTAACTATTCCAATGGCTTAGAAGCAACAGGGCAAGCTCCTAGTCTTCTCGGGATTTAACCAGAAAGTCGACCATGCAGCGCAGACCCACAAAACGAGTTCCAAAACAAAAGACAAGTCACCTAGTAGGTGGTCACAGTAGGTGAGCCAGTTTGGTGTAGTGGTTAAGTGTGTGGACTCTAATCTGGGAGAACCGGGTTTGAGTCCCCACTCCTCCACTTGCACCTGCTGGATGACCTTGGGCAAGCCATAGTTCTGGCACAACCGTTCTTGAAAAAGAGCAGTTTCTGTCAGAGCTCTCTCAGCCCCGCCTACCTCACAGGGTGTCTGGTGTGGGGAGGGGAAGGAGTTTGTAAGCCCCTCTGAGACTCCTTCAGGTAGTGAAGGGTGGGGTATAAATCCAATCTCCTCTTCTTCTCTCAAGAGCAGTTCCAGAAAGAGCTCTCCCAGCCCCACCTAACTCACAGGGTGTCTGGTGTGGGGAGGGGGAAGGGAAAGGAGTTTGTAAGCCCCTCTGAGACTCTCTTGGGTAGTGAAGGGAGGGGTATAAATCCAATCTCCTCCTCTTCTCTCTTATTCTAAAACACTGGAATTAGATTGAGGTCAGTTGAAGGCAAAACTCACAAGCAAGTAAAATATAATTGGTGGGGTGTTTTTTTTTTAAGGTGCAAGAATATTTTTAAAGAACAAGCCTGTGAGGGAAAACAAGAAATCGAAGAATAAAAATACTAGCTAATCCAGTAATGCTCTGGTTCCAAGTTACCAGATGTTATTCCATCTCAGGCCGAAGGCTCTCGGCATCAAGCGTCTCTCTCTTTCTCCAGAGTCTGCCAGGGCCAGCGAGCCGTTAGGCCCTCTCGAGCAAGCAATCAAAATGGCTGCCGGGAGCATAACTGCGGCCGTGTGGTGTGGGAGCACACAGTCACCATCAATCACACACTCAGTTGAAAACCTAACTTCATTATGGGTAAGGGTCCAACATGGTCCCAGGCCTGAAGGGCCAATAGAAACCCTTAGAGATGATGTAACCCCCTGGTTTTGGGCAAATGACCTACAGGGTTGACTTGACCAGGATGAAAGGAATGGTCTCGGCCCTGTTCCCACAGGCAAAACCCATAGACCTCAATTGGTTGGAACATATTAACTGGAAGTTGCTAGGTGAGAGCCAGTTTGGTGTAGTGGTTAAGTGTGTGGACTCCTATCTGGGAGAACTGGGTTTGATTTCCCACGCCACCACATGCAGCTACTGATGTGACCTTGGGTCAGTGACAAGTTCTCTCAGAGCTGTTCTCTCAAGGGCAGTCCTCAAAAGAGCTCTCTCAGCCCCACCTTCCTCACACCTTGTGGGGAAGGGAAGGAAAAGGAGATTGTAAGTGGCTGTGAGGCTCCTTCGGGTACTGAAGGGCGAGGTATAAATCCAAAATCTTCTCTTCTTCCTCTGCACAGCTGTGTGTTATCTAAGAACAAGGTCAGCTTGCTTTGCTTAGCAGTGTCTCTTTCTATCTCTGGGAACTCACACTAGGCCACATTTGAGGTCTGAACTAAAGATGTTTAAAATGACCCAAGTTTCCAGGAAACAATTTTCTTCACAACTGCCAGTACTGCTCTTCAGATAAAAAGTGGTGACTCCATATGTATCTTCTCCATCTGGCCCTGAGAGACGGATTGACTTTTCCCGCATCACTCAGAAATCCT